AAAACAACGGCAATCAAGCGTGCCAGTCCCATTGGATAGGCTGTCTCATCAGCCGTTGAAAACCCATTGGTTGCATTCAGTCCCCATTGGGCGTGCTTATGCCGGCTACTTTGTCCTGGGCACATTGCCGACACAGCCAAAAATTCATCGGCATTGAAAGCCAACATTGTTTTCTTTTTCCGCAAACCACCGTATTGACATGAATGAAAAACTGAATACATGGCCAGATGCGCAACTTCCGTCCAAAAAGTTGTAGCCCAAAATAGACTGAACTGAGGGTTCTCAACAACAAAAATCACACCAAACTCAACAGCCCATTTGACTAGCTTCGCAGTTAAATGATACAGCTGATTGGCCAGAGATACTCGGCTCAGTTCCGAAGGGTTCAGATTTGGAATTCCGTTTGGAAATTGATCTGTACGTAATGGTCGTGGTCCATTTCTCTTGCCGCCGAACTTCCTTTTTAACGGGATTTGACGTGCTCTTGAAGCAGATCCGCAAGGAGGAGCAAGAAAAATTCCGACCACGTTAGGCATGCTTAGCCAGCTCATCAAAAGTTCCTCCCCTTCGGGAGTCGTCAAATCAGCGATGATAACTGTAGACATAGCGTTCTTTGAACGAACTTTGTCAACGCCAAAGCTGCTTTTGAGGCCTAGCTGTTTCAACGAGGCCGTGACACGTGATGAACCTGCAAAGATCTCCACTATGAGGCAATCTTCCAAACTAGCGCCTTTGCTTGCCAGGTCAAAGACGCGTTCTAACCGTCAAGGCTTCTTGTCATGGTCAAGGAAGCTGTGAGGAGCATGGCAACCCTTCTTCATACACAAGTGCCATCCACGATTGCATTCGGCTCCATGTGCAGCGTCCTGGCACTTGTTGAGGTTAAAGTTGAAACACAGCCTTCGATTGTGATCATCCGTTCCAACGCAGCCCTTGTTCTGCAACTCGGCCGGCAAGATGTTTGCCACCTTTTTCCCTTTTCCTTTGCCTTTTCCTTTTCCTTTGGAGCCCTTGTGATAAGGCTGACCTGCACGTGACTGCCAATTCGATGGCTGACTTGGCTGTCCAGAAGCAGAGGGCTGCTGGGGTTTGGCTTCAGCCGTTTTGGCCTTCGGCAGTGGCATCAAGTGAAAACCTACTTCGTAGGATTGTAAAGCGTTCATGATCTCTGTGTCCATCTCAAGAGTGTCATCCGGTTTTCTTCTAACATCCACATCCTTTCGGATCAAAGTGAGAAAAACCTGTCGGTCAGCACGGAGAAGCTGTTGCAGTGTCGTCTTCACATATCCATCGGGCGCCTCGGTCCGCAGGTGGTTGAAGAGGGATTGGAGGTAGCGCTCATGAACATCCCAAGATAGTGCATCGATAAATGCAAATGCTACCCCGCGTCTTTTCAGGGCTTCAAGCACCTGGAGCTCCGTGCTCGCAGCTTGGTCAGGGACCTTGGCCTCCTCCTTGACCAGCAGCTTGTCAGCGTCAACATGCAGCTGCTTCGATGACTTGGAGTATAATACCTCATGTTCACGACTGGTAAGTTTTGCAATCTCTATGTACTGCAATTGCTTGGTCTCCCACATCTGAGCCACAAGGTTCAAAAGGGCATGCGAGGGCTCCAGCTGATGCTCAAGCAAAACGCCAGGCAGCCTGGCTCTCAGTTGTCTCATTTTTGCTTCCCTCTCCACTGGCGGCATCTTTCGAGTCATTTGCATCTCGGGGTTCGAAACCTGCTCGCGCAACTGAGCCATGACCAACGTTTGGGCCTCAAACAGCAAACGCCTGAGGGAGCTCACGTCTTGCATTGTGGCCATCGCGCCCAACACGTTGGTTGCAAACCTTGTAAATTCCAATTCTGGCACCGGCATCTCTGGCTGGCCAACACCAAATGCAAGCCGCCCAAGCGTGGAGTATCCTGCACCAAAAGTGGCCTGCTTTCCACGGTCACTGAGGCCCACCTCATCACATCTCTTCTGAAAATGGGCTTCGCTGTCCAGAATGGAAGTCATAGCTGCAAAAAGGAATGCGAGGTGACACGGTCGTGCAGTGTAGGAAAATAGTGAAATGAAAATTAAACCTGGAGATAGTATTCAAAAGTTTCCCCATCGCGAACATACAACGTATGGAAGACACATGGACCTGGCAATGAATTTGGATCCAATGACCCGCTCGTCTGCCCCATTGACAGTTACTAGAGCCAACGTGGCTTCTACACAGTGTAGGTTCATGCCACATTGGTCGCCATTGCCACATTGGTAACGGCTTGAATCGGCACATTGCCGTGACACACATGTGGTCGTTACTTTGCCTCACATTGAGGTACTGAGAAACTAAATGGCACATTGCCCGGCACATTGCCGTACCCACATTGGGTATAAGTGGATTGTCACACATTGTGATAAATGAGTAGATTGCAAACATGATCATGTACATCTGGACAACAGGCAGTAACCCTTGCACAACAAGTCGTGCAGAACAACGGCAACGCCCACATTGGATCGTTCAAATGCAATGTCAAGACAAAAGATTCAATGCACACATTGGCAATCAACATGACATGACGGACTTTTTCCCGCACGGCTCACCGACGTTTAGGTGGCTCACGGCACTCTTTGAAACAGACCCGACATTTGGCAGTCCAATCTGGAACTGTCTGCACCACAATGAAACCGGCTGACGTGAGCCGTCCACACTTCGTAGTCTTCTTTTGAAGAAGCTCGCCATTTGCGTGGACTGATCCAGAAATGTCTGCGCCGATGTCTGGGACACTATGGATAATGCCCGTCCTCCCATTCTTCACCATGACATCTAATGAAAACCTGTCTTCATGGGGTGGACGCCTGTCATCACTGACTTCCACCTCATTCTCCACGTCCGAGTCAACGTCATCGCAACCTGATGTCGACGACGATGAATCCGATGACGACAGGACCTCAATCTCAAACGCCTGCAGAACACCGTCAACCTCAATGCACTCAACCTCTTTCTTTGGCGTGATGTGCTCCCACTCATCATCTGGAACCGCAGCAACGCAAGGCTCAGTTCTTGTCTCTTTCGTCAGAAAAGCCGGCGTTCCAGGCTGAAAGACTGGTGCTGGCGTGCCCGGTGCCAATGGATTGGCCCCTTTGAAGAAATCAGCTCGAGGTTGATCCGGTTCGAATTCACCTTCTCTAATAAGAGTGAGGACCCGCTGCAGGGCCTTCACCGGGGCCACAGCAAGGTCCCGAGCATAGATGGAGTCTGAGTCCTGCAAACTTGATGAGTGCCTGCCGAGTAATCTGCGTTGATCTCGGGGTAGTTCAGCTTTTGCTGCCCAAGACAAACATGTCGTCTTGAGCGAGTGAGACGTGACGTCTCGGTCCTCAATCTGCAAAAGACACCGGATAACCGATGTCGTCTCTGAGCATGTAAGAGGCCGGCGCAACCAGGCCCCCTCCCGGCTAAGGTCTGGGGCTGGTTGAATTGCACAGTCAAAAACTCCAGCAACCCTCAATCCAGCTTGCCTGCGAAGTTTCAGCCACGTTGATAACCAATCATCGTGGAACACTGCTGTCGACGATGCTAGGATTGGCAAGAGAAGACTTTTCTTCTCAGCACTCTTGGCCGCCTTGTGATACCTCGTCGAAATCTGTATGAAGTCGGGGGCACCAGATGAGGATGCCTTCGCACTCACATCATGGAGAACTTCATGAACATGGGCCAGGTCGCTCGTCCGACTCCGGGTGTACAGCATCATAAGAAGGTGTGATGCTAATACCCTCTGCTGCAAACTTGCTGACTGGTCAGTAGTCACGGCATGCAACTTTCTGACCTCAGCGACGGTCAATGGCCTTGCCTGCTTTGTCGCTGACTTCATGGCCAGCTGTAGCTCTGCAGATCCAATAATTCTCCTGCTGTTGATGCACGCCTCTGCTCCATCAATTTGAAGTATGTAGTGCCCAAAACGCAGTGCCTGAACAAATGATGTTGCCTTTGTGGGGGCGGCATTCGAGGTCCTCAAGTGCTGGATGTACTCCCAAGCCACGTTCTCACACATGGGCAGGAATTCAAGTTCAAACTGCGTGCAAAACCATCTGTAAAAATGAAGCAACGCATTGACCCTCTTAATGACTGTCCCGGGGCTGCGTGTTCCCAGGATTGCCAGCAAGACGTCACTCCTGCCCTGCTCAGTTGCCTCGCTCATCAGTTGTCGTCCGACACCACTGAACTCAAGTTCAATCTCCAACAGGCACTTCAATTTTGCAATCGCCTTGTCAGTCTGGACCGCACGCTCATCGATGAACGATCTGTCAACCCTGTTCTTTATGCATTTCGAAACTGCAAATACCAACGGCTCTTTTGGTTGCACCTCGACACCTGGGAAGACATCTACAATGGGATCCAAAAGCTGGGCATTCCAATTTGCTGGCATGCTCAATGACGGTGCCGCAAGAGGATCACCAAAGATTGGTGCCAACCATGATTGTTCCCAGGGCAACACAATTGTTGAGGGTTTCATACCAGTTAGGAAAGCATTGGTGACAGACGTGGTGTGGTCCCTGTCGGTAGCAGCTGACAATGGCGGCTCTGAAACCTGTTGCTGATTCTGTGCAAGAAAATCTGAACTGACCAAACTTGGAGATGGTACAATTTCATCTTCTTCGACTCTTCTTTTCTTGGCCCACCATAACCTGAATCCTTTTAAAGGATCTGAGTCACCCTCGGGCTCACCAGCATCGGATGCTGCAAACAGGTCCGTGGCCTCGTCGACGCCGGCAACCAAGTCTGTGGACAAGAATTCATCCATGGCATCAAAGAAAAACCCCCCGACGTGAAAAATTTCCACAAAGAAAGAAACATGTAACATGCTAAAGTTGCGACCATTGTCATTGACATTGTTTCACATTGAAAAGTTTGACATTCAAACCTGTAAGCCAGAGCTCGGTTGATTCACAGCAGTTCATCACCTCACATCAGAATTTAGTTCGCTTGCCGTTGTCTTGCTTACATACTGACAGAATTTCCTTCTAATCCTTGCGACCATGTTGGTCCCACAGCGGAGCCAAAGAAGAGTAGCAATTGAGTTCCCACAGATAGGGGTAGAGGAATAAAAGACAGATGCATATTTTCACCTCGTTCATATCATCATGGGTTGTCAGTTGTGTAGACTCGATGCGAAGCACCTGTGGAAGAGAGGAAAAAAATCCACCCTTTCGGGCACCCCGCGTTCACGGCGCGTTTCTGCTCCTCCGAATACGGAGACGGCGATATGGATCTGACCCTGCGGTCTGAATCCAAGATCCAGAGCTTGTCATCTCCCTGATCTGGTCTCTCGAATGGCAATTCATGTTGCATCGGCGGGTTCCCCTTTCCATCACAGTACTGATTGGGTTGGTGAAAAAGGATGGTAGCCGAGGAAGACTCCTCTTTCCAACTCATGTGGCGGTGGGTGCAGCTCGCGGCGAATGCCGCTCTCGCTGGCCCCTCCACTTCGGACATTCGCACCGTAGCCCGGCAAATGTGACATCGGCGGCACAGATGGCAGAGGAAACCATGCCTGAGCCACTCGCCGGTGCTCCCACTGATGTTGCTGCTAGCGTCAAAGGTGCAGCCGGGGTCAAAGGTACAGCAGGCGCCACGAAGGTGGCGGAGGCTCCATGGAGACGGGCGGCTCTTTCACTGGGGGTGTCCCCACAGCTCCATGCCAGGCACCCTGTGCTTGAGAAGGTTCTGGTCCCATTCTTTGCAGCACTTGAGGCATCTTTCGATCGCGATATGACTAAAAGAAGAGCTGGTTGAGTTTTTCTGTAGCTCACCAAGTATCTGGGCCTGATGCTCCTTGGACTTCACATTGACTTCATAGACCTCATCCAGCTTCTTTGTGAGGTGGCCAAAAGTTGTTTTGATCCATTGGTGCATAGGGGTCTGAAACTTGGCGTCTTGAACCCAATCCCAGGATACGCCTTCGAACAATTTGGCGAAACCTTTTAGGTGGGACGTCACCTCTGTCTTGAAGCCGGATAGTTGGCTGGCAGAAAATTGTATGCCGCCAGAAGTGGCCCCACGGTCTTGAGACAACCTTCCCAAATGGCCTTCCAAACTCTTCTGACTTTGGGCAATGGCATCACCCACATCTTTTTGGCCCTCGACAGCCTTCAAGGTATCTTGGAAGTGCATGCGTGGAGCGAACCAGCTCCAGAACACACTCTTTCAGAGTGGAGTAGATGAGCTCTCCCTCCTTCTTTCGCTTGGCTTCCGGAACATCTTCCGCATCCGGGAGCTCCTCACGCTCTCTTTTCTTGTCCACTTAATCTCCAGCATCTTTTTCTTCTTGTGGTGGGGGAACAGCCTCCGCTTCCACATTACCCGGACGGGCTGGAGAGGCCACTTCCTCCACATGCTGGCCATCAGCAGACGACATGGCTCTCCTTATAAGGCGCGTTAAGAGTGCACAATGCACCCTCTGCGATAGTCCTTTCGGAAGGTTAAAAAGCATCGAACTGCAGAGCAGATCCAAGATCACATCCGTACCCCACTCCTTTCCAGAGGACTTCACAGGCTGCTTTCCAATCTCACTAAGAAATTCCAAAACCAACAAAACACAAAAATAAACAAAACCATCAAGATCCTTTCCAGAGGATCAGATCCTGACGAATGCAAACACAGATCGTGCGGTCCCTTCACAAAACAAAACATAATGTGTGTGTGTCTGTCTGTCTCACATGAATGAAAGATTTTCTTTCCAAAACAAAATTCCAATCAACTGCAAGAGTTTCAAAACGCTCGACAAAGCAAACTTCCTTCAGATCAGCATAAATTCTTTCTTCGATCCTTTCGGTCTGGAAGAGCAAAACCCGGCACCTATGAAGATCACTCTACTTTTCAAACAACATACCCGCAGTGATCAGTCATCTCGATGCTCCAATCGTTCTGGGAGCAGCATCCCAATGCCAGCGTCCGTTGCAGATCTCATACAAATACGGGTTGAATTCGCAGCAAATGAGGTAGTGGAGGTCGTCAAGCCATTCAGAGATTTCGAGAAGGCCACGCATCCAACGGGCGCATGTGACCCACAGTGCTCCGGCTGAAATTTTCATGTTCAGAACCAACCATTGATTGATTTCCACAGATTGCCTCAGACCTATAATGATCTGAAGCTCTTCCATTCTTCCTTTCAACAACACTAAACGGTGCAACAGGGCCTTGCTGGTCCTCTAAAGGTGATTGCCAACTATCTCCACCATCTCCCGTCAACTCACGCCAATGTCCCCAGTGATGACGATCCATCGCACCGTCAAAACCAGCGAGACAAAAGACACAAAAGGGCGGTACTCTGAACATCAAAAGATCTTCAGTTGGTTGACTTCACATACAACAACCATCATGATTTTAGACTCGTGCAACCCTTAGTGACTTCCACGACATCACAACTGCAAAACAACTGGAAACAAGAACATCTACATCCGCAGCTTTCCAAGTGCTCAATTGTCACTTCTCCTCACAAGCTAGTGGGAATTGTTTTCCAGCTGGACTGTTCTCCTTCACCCCTTTCTACAACAGGCCAGGTAAAGGAGTCTTCCGATCAACTCATCCGGGTGTTCAAAGGGTGTCGGATACCAGATTGTAGATCAGGTGGCAACTGGACGCAACATTTTTGGGTGCACTCATCCAGTCCACTGCTGGGCATTAGTTCATGCGTCATGGATTCAGAATCATTTCACTGTTTCTGAAGGTTTCAAGGTTTTAAATTCCCGCGTACGCCGCCTACCAGTCAATACCTCCTCGTTACATTCAGAAACCAAACATAAAAGCAAAAAACCGAAAACACATCAGGACATGCAATCACCGAAAGACATCACTCAGCTGGCGCTCCACTTTCTTTTTGACCGACAACGTTGGGAATTGCCGATAGTGCATGTGGTGGTCACTTCGACCAGCATGAAAACATCCATGTGCCACCCCTGGCAAAGCAGCCGCATAAGGACGGCGAGCAAAAACACTGTAGCAACAAAAGCCTGGGTGTCCCAGGTCCACTCACTCCGTATACGCATCACACATGCGATTGCATCGTCCAACCAACTTCACAGGTTTCACCCCATTCACGTACCGCCTGTAGTCGCGGGAGTGTCTGTAGACTCAGGAGTGTCCTCAACATCAGGAAGGGCAGCGGCAGGCTGGGGATGAGCTGCCTCATATAAATCGAAAAGGCCGACCGCGGTCTGGAAGATCAGGAGGGAGTCCTTCACGATGTTGAGGACATCCTGGTGCAAATGAGCATCAAAGGAATCTGTAAACCAATCGCGGAAAATGACAAGGGAGGCCATCCCGAGTCTGACTAAGTGATGTTGATCCCTCCAGCCAGGGCGTAGCAACGCCGATAATTTCAGAGGCACTGGTGGTGTAGGGACATGTGTCCTTGTTTCCGTAGGTTGTTCGGGCCACCATTGCCGTTCGAACAAGAACATTGCGTTACTGCAAAGTGTCCATAAGTGGTAAATAGACCGCATGAAGTCTGAGCGCCCGCAGCACTCCAGCAAAATTGCACAGGCTTTGAGGACCTCGTCCATACTTTCGCACCTCGAAGCCCGGAGAGTCCAGTCACTGCGGTTAGCTTGGTCGATTGAGGAATTCATGTATTGCAACACGATGCTGATGCCCGCGGCGAGTAGTGTCAACTCGGAGTGCATGAGGATGTTCAAGCACGAACACTTGTATGCAGGTCCTCCCAGGGTGGGAAGTTTGCAAAACGGGTGGGAACAAAAATTTTCCCTTGAAGCGAAAAGGCCACTTGAGTAAAGACAATCACCTGTTTCCACATTTGACATGTCCGCAAGATTGCTGCTGCAACGACGTCCCTGTAAGAATCCAAAATTTGACTCAAAGCATGATCATGTTGAAATAAGGTTTGTTTTGCAATACACGGTTTGGATTCGTGGATCGACATCCAAGAGCCGGGCATGTTTTCGGTTCTGGCATTGCGACACTTGTTGTGCGGTTACACGGTTTGGATAAAGGCAGTATCCAAGAGCCGGGCATGTTTGTTAGTTTCAAAGGTTGTGCGAATGGCACACCAGGTTTGGCAACGCGAAGGGCGCGCTGTTATTTCAGGTAAGACTGGTAGGCTAAAAGTTTGTACGCAAACTTTTCTGCAGCTGCAATTTAATGCACTATCAACGCGTTGACCGTAAGCTTAAATTCCCGCTTACGCCGCCTACCAGTCAATACCTCCTCGTTACATTCAGAAACCAAACATAAAAGCAAAAAACCGAAAACACATCAGGACATGCAATCACCGAAAGACATCACTCAGCTGGCGCTCCACTTCTTTTTGACCGACAACGTTGGGAATTGCCGATAGTGCATGTGGTGGTCACTTCGACCAGCATGAAAACATCCATGTGCCACCCCTGGCAAAGCAGCCGCATAAGGACGGCGAGCAAAAACACTGTAGCAACAAAAGCCTGGGTGTCCCAGGTCCACTCACTCCGTATACGCATCACACATGCGATTGCATCGTCCAACCAACTTCACAGGTTTCACCCCTTTTTAACCGGATTTGTTTGGAGGCCCTTCAGGCACTTTGCATCTATGAGACTTTCCAACTGCGGAGGCAGTGGTTCGACCTTCGGTTGATCCACCGCTCTCGTAACTGGCAATCCGCTATGTTGCTTTGCGCCGGGACACAGGCAAACCAAGGTATGACACTGCAGGATTCACCGACAGTACAGCATCGAAGATCACGGTCCTCCTCGGGTGAGAAGGATGCATCAGTGAAGGCGAAAGGCGGGGCTCACCAGGCAGCCGTTATCACCTAGGCCACGATTGCAAGAGTTGCTTCCTAAAGGTTTTCAGGGAGGCCAGGGTGCGGAAGCTAGGGACATTACCATCAAGCCCAGAATGCATATACTGTGATTGCAGCGAGGCGGAGCTTGGTCGCTCTTCCCCGCAACTGAGCTTTGGCCAACCGCGTCCTACCACCGCAAACTAATGCTGCTTGTTGGGTACGCCTGGCAGTGGGGACAATGGCATCGATGTTTGACACCAGCTCTTTAGTGCGTTTTTCCTCATCTGCAAAGCAACGGGACCGTCTTACCACCTAGCGCCATCGATCACGATTTCGAGGGCTTTGACTTCTCGGCAAATGGCAGGTCTTTGTCCCCGAGCGGAACACCACACCCGAGAAAATTGAGAACTGCAATGCCACCACCGAAACCAACTCGGACTCCTGCTTCCTTGCAAAGGCGTTGAGTCATTGGAAGAGTCGCCCTAGGCAAAGTTCAATGCTTTGCACTCCCGCCACCAGGGAGAATGAGAAACTCTCAACATCTCGTGGACAGAACCGCTGCCGCCAAACGGGAGAGCCCACATTGCAAACACTTTGATACTTACAAGCTGGGGTCAAATGCTGCATGTAGAAAATCCAAGCTGATCCTGGCGCGACCCCAAGTTGTCTGTATGTCGCTCTAGGCAAAGTTCAATGTCTTGCACTCCAGCCACCAGAGAGAATGAGAAACTCTCAACGTCTCGTGGACAGAACCGCTGTCGCCAAACGGGAGAGCCCTCAATACAAACACTTTGATTCTTACAAGTTGGGGTCAAATACTGCATGTAGGAAGCCCAAGAGGATCCTGGCGCGACCCCAAGTAGTCTGTACGCTGATGCAAGGTCGAACGTTCTGCCGAATCACACGATTCCAGAAAAGACGCCTCTGTCACGTCCAGAGTGTGTAGTTTTGAAGTGGCCTCCACCTCAAATGGTCAGGCCAGCCAGCCGCAACACAGTTCTTCGAGTGCCTTCTAGAAGCCGGCAGCGACAACCCCAGGATCCCCAGGGGTTTGAATTAATGGCAGTATGGCTCCACAGGATGCACTTGCATAATCCGATAACTCCTTGGTAGAGACCATTGCAGATTGCAACAAGGGTCGAAGGATGGAACTGTGGGCGTGGTAAACCAGCAAGGTGGATCCCATAAGAACTCATCATATACCTTTACATCCGGGTAACCATAATGGATAAGCATCCCTTCCACACCAGCAGCCTCATCGGGGCGAGGATCCTGCCGAGGGCTCCATGCAGGCTGCTGCGCAAACAACATTCGGCCGGGCTTAAGGTCTTCGTTCTTTCAAGCCAATAAGGCAGGGTGGCGTGTCCTTCCTCAGCGGGCTGGTAAATTGATTTGAAGAACTGGCATCGACAGCTCCCTGCAACACCATGGGAGGTGTTTGTCTTTGGCGACTGGGTGTCCAGCTTCAACCGCAGCTTCGACAGAGGCTTCACAAGACCGGTACGCAACACGAAAACCCAACGAGCATTATCGTCCTTAAGGTTATCCCCACAGTCAAGGTTTACTGTAAAAGGCCCAACGGGTGTTATCGTCCTTAAGACCTTCACCATGGGAGGTGTTTGTCTTTGGCGACTGGGTGTCCAGCTTCAACCGCAGCTTCGACAGAGGCTTCACAAGACCGGTACGCAACACGAAAACCCAACGAGCATTATCGTCCTTAAGGTTATCCCCACAGTCAAGGTTTACTGTAAAAGGCCCAACGGGTGTTATCGTCCTTAAGACCTTGAGGTAATCCCCACGGGCAAGGCAAAGACAAGGTTTACTGGGCCATTATTACAGTTATCACCATCAAACAGTTATTACTATCCCCATTTAACCGTAAAGGCGGCCTCTGAGGAGTCTGGCGTTGGCAGGGACAGGGTCAAGGGCTACTGCAGGACCTGTCCAATGTCAACATGGGACTGGACAATGACACCGGGACACGGACGAAGGACTCAAACTCAAACAAAAAGGCGGTAGCTTGTTGGCTTGGGCCAGCAATTGCACACAGTGCAAAGACCCTCTGGCCGGCGGTGTCAGTCGTACTGGTGGCGGCTGCCAACGAAATTCTGAATGCATCTAGGCCCAAGGGAACGCGCTATGGTCTATGTTTATGGGTTCTGCCGAGTCCAGGGCAAGTTTAACAAACTTCAATGTTACCACTGGGTGTAGTAATGTTGCGTGCCAGGGCCATGCATTTGGGCTGCGCTGGTCCATCTGCAAAGGCTTAATGGGCTGTGAACTTTAAACAAATTCAAGGAAGTCCTCCAACACATGATGAGCGTGGATTTTCAATGCCATCCACCAACTCGTGGTCAAGGCAAAACTGGACTACATCGGTGAGGCATATGTAAAAGCATTGGCAAGTGAGACCATCCGGGGAAGCCTCAGAGCGCAAGGGCTTGGGTCCAGCAACAGTGCATCCATTTGGAAGGATGACCGCTATGCCCTTGCCCGGCTGCAAGTTCCGCATGAATGCGCACAGGAGACTCATGCACAGCTAGGTGAGGAATCCACTTCCAGCAGAGGTTTTGGTTTTCAGGCGTAGTCAGGTCTGCACCAGCACGCGACCAGCATTCTGTAATCTTCCTGGTCTACCCCAAAGGATGGGGTAAGCCCCCAAGCATGCAAATATGAAGTACCCCCGGTGTGCCGGCGCAAATTCCAGGACGGTAGGGACGTTTAAACAGCAGCTGTGCGAAGCTTCTGGGCGGCTTCGGGCTGTGCCATGTGAATGGGCTCACAGTTGCTATGGAAAACTGGCATAAATTAACTTGAACCTAGTCAAGTGAATGTGAACTGGCAAATGCAGAATGCATCCTAGGGGGCTATAATCCATGCACTGCTTAGTTGGGAGCATCCTCAGTGTTGAGGAGAAGGAGAAGCCAAGGCACTGAGGTTCTACTTCATAGTGACCCACTATGAAGTAGAACCTCAGACTGTGAGTTACAACATCTTCTACCTCAGGTGAGTGATCAAAACTCGTTGGATTTCCATCTGGCGTCGAGGCTGTACCACCTCTTTGCACTTCTTGAGGGAGTAAACAAAACAAATTGGATTTCCATCCAGCAGGTTGTGGTGTTGATGGCTGCGTCTTGGCAGATGCCTTTGCTACCATAGGAAGCAATTTGGAGCTGACCTCATACGACTTGAGCGCTTCCTCCAGCTTTCCATCCGGGACCAAAACACCCGCTGCATCCGGTCTGGGTTTCACATTTTTCCCAATGGGGGACACCACGCTGCTTTATCGGCAGCAAGGAGCTGGGATACACTGTACCTGTTGTAGCTGCGGGTGGCTCTCTGTTTAAGTGAGCGAACAAAAGCTGGACATACTTGTCATGGCATGTAAAGGTCATCCCATTGGCGAAGTCCAAATGCTTGGTACTTACTTGAAGGCTTCCAATGCTTGGTACGAGGTTTGCACATTTGATTCAAAATCAGCATCTTTGTCACGGGTCACCACCTTGATGACTCCACATCCGATGGCTTTAACTGCTGTTTGTTGGTAAATTGACAACTCCGTCTACTGGCTGTAGCATTTTTCCAAAGGGATGGACCTCAACACATTTTGGTCATACAATTGGGTTGCAGCATCCAAAAGTGAGTGGCTTGGTCTAGCATGGCCTTCAACAAGAACCCCTACAAGACGGGTCTTAAGATTTGCAAGTCGTGTTTCCCGTTCTGCTGGCGGGACCTTTCTTGCAACACTCGGTTCTGGGTTCACTACTCACTCTTTCAATATGGCAAGGAGCTGCGTTTGGCTCTCAAACAACAGTCTCTTCAGTGATGAGACTCCACCAACTGTTGCGGCTTGGTCAAGTTGCCCAACCCATGCTTCAAAGTCGGCTGCGACAATTGGCTGGCCTGGTTGGCCATGTGCATATTCTAATGACAAAGTCGTGTTGACTCCTGCATTCTTCAAGGCCTGCTGCAACTGAACAGGGGCCTTCACCTGTCCAACCTGAGGTCGAACTGAGCCTCTGAGTCAACTGTGGATGTCATGGCAATCGACAGGCTCGTACTACACCTACTAGTGCAGCAAATGGTGGGACCTGCAAGTTGGGATAAAAAGGTTATCACAATGGCATGGTTTGAGCCTCAGGTAAAAGTTGACCCATGTTGTGCGTGAAAACTCATGCTCACGTGCATGTTGAGCTTGAACCAAGTAGAGGCTAGGCGGGTTTGCCGTGCCATACGTTGGAGTACACCCTCCAAGTCACTGCAACACAACCTGTCAAGTGGATACATGTCCACAACACAAATTCTTCGCATCAAATAACTTCCACCGCAAACATTTCCACTGCGAGATGCACTCCTTGTGAACCAAGGCCGGTTTTGGCCGAGTCACCTTCTGTTACAAGATTAGCACAAAGTGCTCCAAGCCGTCGCTTCCGAGCATGGCACATATGACACAATCAGGCGTTAGTCACTCACAAGAACTTCACATCGTTGTGAACATCACCACTGAATCGATGCACAAGGGCGGGCTTTCATGAACATGCCAACTCACACCCAGAGGAGTTCTTATCTCAAACTTCTTGAAACTAGGTTGCGCCAATGCCACATCAGAGCAATCTGAGGATCCAGCGTCACTACATCTTGGACTCGATTCTGAGCTGCTTCCCCCCGGCTCGTCACCAGGGGTTCAACAGTTTTGTCAACTGCCGGTTCAGCAACACCAACTGGTCCATTGCATTCAGAATCTTAAACCGAAATAAAACCATCATCACCGAGGCCCTCAAGTTTCACCTGAACATCTTTGTCTTTTGCCACACCACCTGCGTTGGCCCTGAAAAACGTGGACCGCTCACCAGCTGATGAACATGAAACATCGTGAATGGCATCAATCAATTTCTGAAGCTCAGCAACTGGGGCGCAGGCCAAATCACTGGAATAGATAGCAAATGTTTCATTGATGGCATGACGTGTGGCGACCCAAAGGCGACCTTGTCTGGGGGGTCATGCCGAAGTGCGCTGTCCATGCAAGCAAAAATGGCTTTCAAGCTGTGGCTTGAGGCGATCTCACCTGAGTCAGGCCTCGTATCACTGCTGGTACCTAAAAAGGTTCTGAGCATCTTGGAAACTTCAGAGGACCTCAACCCACGTTGCATGAAATCACCAAAACCCTTCGAAGGAGCAGGCAAGAGGGGCCCATCATTGAAAATCCCTGTTGGGCAACCAAACTCAGAAATGACCTTCAATGCAGTGCTCTTCCAATTGCTTCCATCGACGCCCCTTGCAGGGACAACAACCGGCAGCAACCTGGTTTTCGGGGCAGCCATCATCCCTGACTTGTGATTGCATGGGGTGATAATCACAAATCCACCTTCAACTCCAAAATCAGGCATCAAGGTTCGAATTGCAAAGAGATCACTGTTCCTACACCTGCCATAAAGGCAAAAAGCAAATAGGCCACCAACGCTCTGTCCCCAATGTGCCGTGCAACATCCTCCAAAAATTGTGTGAAGGGAAACAACATGCTTCACTGACAATACCAGGGCCTGTTTAAGCAGTCCCTTTCCTGAGAGCATCAACTCGCACGCACCAATCAATCGCCGGCTTGAAACTGCACCTGCAAGGCAAGAGAAACCAGTGAAAGGCAAAGCAAATCACAGAGAAGACAACATGGTATCGGCTCTGGTTGCAGGAGCATCGGTATTCTTTAGGTATTGGAAAAACCCCAAACAACACTCCTAGAAAGGGTTTGCATCAGCGTTGTCAGCACTGTCATGTCATCGCAAGGAAGCCAGCAACGTATTTGCACTCTTGATGAGGGTTGCAGGCGATCTGACCCCCAGAACAGTATCCAAAATGTCATCGGCCTTCTGTTGCGACTGTTCATGAGCGCATTCTTCCAAAAACTGTCCGCTTGTATCGCTTGCTCCCAAGTTGCAGAACATCACAACAAGAAGCTTACCTACGGCCACGTCTCTGAGCTGCTGACGCTTCGAGTGAAAGTTAAGGTCATCAACACTGGGAATGCAAGACTCAAAAACTGGCAGTTTCAGAACAGGGTTTGCAACACTGGCCAAGGTTTCAGCAACTGCCGATGGGGGAGCATCCATCTCAAAACTGCATAGGCTTGTAAAAGGCATCTTGGGGACCAGGGCGTCCGACAAAATGTCATCGCTAAAAATGTCCTTGAAGATTCCTTCTTACCACGGCATCTTTATGCATGCAACATCGCAATCTTGAAAAGGTTTCTGGCAAAAATGGAGTTGTAAACTGCAGTTGAAACAGTCGGCTGGGCCACATCTGCAACGGTTCCAGTATGATTCATAGCAGAACTGTTCAAACATCACTATGCGCAACTGATGGACTGGGTTCTGAAGCGCCGGGCTCATAGTGTAGTCCACTTCCAACAGTGTAGTCCACTTCCAACGCCTCCATCATCAGCATCGCTGCCAAACAAAAAGGGGCCTGACAGAGTGGAGCGGAATTGACATCATTCAAAACGGAACCAGTGTCAACCAATTGGGTCTGTTGTGTTGGATCACCAAGTGCAACATCAGGAATAGGATGTCCTCCACCAGGATTTCGTCAGAACTTTTCTGCATCCCCTATTAACCGGAATACAGCGAAATGAAACACGCAGAGAAACCAGCAGCAATACTGTCCAAAATCACAAGAATGAAATGCCAAGGCAAGCGAGATGAAAAACTGGAAGGTGAATTTCGAAGACAAATAAGGCCCGCCACTGCAGTTGTCCCACGTCAAATGGGATGGACCGAGGCAGCACATCGAGCCCCGGATAACAAAAATTTTCCCTTGAAGCGAAAAGGCCACTTGAGTAAAGACAATCACCTGTTTCCACATTTGACATGTCCGCAAGATTGCTGCTGCAACGACGTCCCTGTAAGAATCCAAAATTTGACTCAAAGCATGATCATGTTGAAATAAGGTTTGTTTTGCAATACACGGTTTGGATTCGTGGATCGACATCCAAGAGCCGGGCATGTTTTCGGTTCTGGCATTGCGACACTTGTTGTGCGGTTACACGGTTTGGATAAAGGCAGTATCCAAGAGCCGGGCATGTTTGTTAGTTTCAAAGGTTGTGCGAATGGCACACCAGGTTTGGCAACGCGAAGGGTGCGCTGTTATTTCAGGTAAGACTGGTAGGCTAAAAGTTTGTACGCAAACTTTTCTGCAGCTGCAATTTAATGCACTATCAACGCGTTGACCGTAAGCTGACACCACGTGAGCGTGGAATGGATGGATCCTACTCTGGTAAACTGGCAACGTATGGAGAAGAGATTCTTGGATACCTCAGAACTGGCAGTAACTGGCATGAAGGCTGGACCACGTTGGCAGCATGTTGTTTGGTTGGGCAAGACAATGCTAGGTGACCACATTGTAGGCACAGCAGCTGGAGTGTTCACAAGGAGCGTCGGGCGCAACCCAAACCCTTTCAATTTGGATCGCTTGGGTGACTTGGAAAGTTGACCATGGGAGTTTGGACATGCGCTCTTGGCAGCAAGTTGATTTACAACAAGCGTGTGAGTCAGCCACTTGCGTTTGGTGTTGGATCAAGCATGCCAATGATTGCGTTTATTGTCCATAAATGTGCTGTGGAACACCCAGATGAGGATGTTGAGCAATCAGCTGAGGCGGGAGGGGTCAGAACCTTCACCACCTGTCCCATCAAGTGCAGCTGCTTCTACAGAAACTGCAATGGATGATTCAACAGATCCACATGGACAGAAACACAAGCCGATTCGCCAAAGAGAAAGCGCTCCAAGACACCAAAGCTTGACAAGAGCTCTGACAAGGGACATCTCAGTCAAGTCACCAGCACAGACTTGAGCTTGCATGAACATGAGGATGAGACAGTTTCATTTGCTTTCAGAGATGATGAACTGGATAAACTTTGAAAACGACGAGCTCTATGAGCACTGGTGACTGGACTGACGATGAAGCGCTGATCAGCCAACTTCACTTTTCCTTTCAGCAAGCATGCCTACACTGGATGATGCTGAGTTGCAAAGACTTGATGCCTTGGCAGACTCACTGGAAATCCAAGGTTTGACAAGATGGTTCTCACTGATCGCAACAACAATGCCATCAGATGCCAAACAGCTTTCAACCAGGTTCGTTAGGGGTTTAAAAGTTGAACAAGATGACAGCAGATTTGGTTGCGGCGATCCCGTTTTTGTTGCGCGTGAATTTGCATGGATGGACTGTGAACTAGACAGTTCATTTTCTCCTGCAAGCAGCTCATTTGTTGCCAGGATCGTCTCTCCGGTGGCCGCTAGAGTCCGGGAACCTGTGGGGGCATCATGAGTTGGTCTCTCTTGGATTGAGTGGTGATCATCTAGGGTGAAATGAATGGGTTCCGTCTCCACGTCCATTCAGAGTGTACGGTTTACGCTGTACATTCTGAGTGGAAATGAATGGGTCCGGTTCCCACGTCAGTGGATCCATTCTCCTTGGTTTGACCTGGGACTCGTGGTGTGGAAAGGGTACCGCAGCGTTGCTTGCGTTCGGCCATGCTTCTGCGTGGTTTTTCGCCTTTTTGGCCGGGAGCCCAAAGGTACCAAGCGGGGACATTATACTTCCCAATAGCTCGCGGGTCTCCTTGCTCACCTATAAGGCCATAGTTGCAGTAAGATACCCTGAGCTTGTTCTGCATGACCAGAATCCCACACAAAGTGGACATTTCGTGTCTCACGATCATACAGTTGAGCACGGAGGATTCCGAACTGTCTTGTGGGATGCACCGAAGGATCTCCGTACAGCAGTCGAGGACGTAGTTGCCTTCTTGACCTACTTGCAAAATCGTCATCGAGACCTCAGCCAAGGAGCCACAGCTCAGTTGCTAGTGTTATGCAACCGCACAGCTGTGCACAACCAGCTCCTCCAGCACGGTTTTCAAACAGCATGGCACGGTGTGCTTCGAATCACTACCGCCTCCTCTGCAGCAGGTGCATTTTTTTTTTGTCCGAGCCCATTGCCTTTCGGCGGGTCTGCGGTCTTGAGTCTTACTCACGGACCAGCGGGGAATCGAACCACCACCGGCAGTCTGTCAGCGCCACAAGAGTGACGCCATACCAACTGAGCCATGGGGGCGACTTCCTCTGCAGCAGGTGCAACTGCCCGTAAATGTACAAACAGGGGGTGGCTTCCTTGGTGGTGGGCGACGAGGGTTGGATGACAGAGAGGATTGCTATGAGAGAGCGACAGTTGCGCTACCGAGAGCTATTCAGCACTTATATTGTCTCTCCGCTTGACATGGCGGGGATGATAGAGATGGCTCACACCCTGGCTGTGACCACTACGGATATCATACCCTGAAGGCCAGACAGAGACGCGCTCGTCCCATCGGACACAGCTGCAGTCTTGGACTGGGGACTTGATGCTCCGTTTACATCACTAGACAAGCCCGCCCTTTCTATTACCATGATTGCAACAGTGAATGGGAGCGCTCTCTACGAAGATACGCTTAGTGATTTGCACAGAAAGCTGCGACTCACCCCTGAAGTCCTAGCTGCACTTGCATCCCAAAGTCGAGACCAACGTCACGGCCAGCGGATTCTTCGGGCTCCACCTTGATGAAGACTTCCAAACTGGGTGCTTCACGGAAATCATTCGTGGCTACAAGATGGGGGTTGTTGAGCCCGATGTTATGCGCGGCCAGCAGGAGCCACCAGAGTAACGCTTGACGTTATTATCCCGTCTCCCACAGGCCTGACTCCGGAAAAGTGGAAGCAGACCGCGACGCTGTACACGTTGGACTGGCCTTCCAACTTCAGTCCACTACGGCTCTGGCACATGCAAAGGCCTACACCATTTTGCGGACCAATTAAGAACGCAAATGAGCCACCGAGATATGTTCTCTCAAAGGGAGATCAACCATGAAAAGTTTGCGAGCAGAGTGCTGTACCAGCTCCCGGCCCATTATGTTCCAGAAACCACGCTGCAGCAAAACGTGCAGGAGAGTGTGCAAGAAGCCACCTCAGGCTGACGTTGATAACTTTAAAGCGAAATGCAGTGAGCTTCGACGGCTTGTCACTGCTCAAGAGGTTGTCTGGTTGGCCTTCTTGTCCTTGAGTGTGCTCCGTTTTCATTTCCGCTTGTCTCCGGGTTGTGTGTTGCGGCCCGTCTTATCGGCCTGCTCTACCTGCCACCGTGACTTCCTCCCTCCCCTCGCGTATCTTTTGGAGGTTGGCTTGTCCTTGAATTCGTTTGTTTTTTGGTTTTAGCTGCTGCTGCAGCGATAACACTGGCGCGATCCAGTGGCACTCTGTTGGACAGCCGGGCCGCCCGTGAGCAGCAAAGTCTACGCACATGGATCGTGAGTTCCTTTTTCGGATTGGATGGTAACACGCCTGCCACGCGAAACGCAGCAACTCGACGCTGGGAACATCCAAAAGTGACACCTTTTGCAGATCTTACCATAGGCACGGCTATACCTCACGCGAACAGTTGCGAACGGTTGCGAATATAACGGTTGCGGACGGTTGCGGACGGTTGCGAAGGGTTTTTTTTCCGTCCAACGCCTTCATGTCATGGCTTCCGCCAGGTCGTTCAACATGTTTTAGTGCATGTTGCAAATTGGGATTAATTGATTAATTAAGTCGTGCGTAGGCCGTCTGCGGTGGAGTGGGACGGTTGCGAAGGGTTGAGAACGGTTGCGAACAGTTGCGAACGGTTGCGAACGGTTGCGAACGGTTATAGTCATACATGGATCTCTTCAAAGTAAAGGGTTCACATATAGGTATATGGCGTGACCACAGATGAAACTCTGGCATACATTCTGACTGTTGGGTCAAAACATGTATAAACATGTATATGTACCCAAGAGGGATAAATCACACATATATATATATACATACATATGCATATAAAAACATACATATCTCACGCCGCGCTATTGTCGGGTTACGTCGTCGCTGCGCCATGAACTTCACACCAAAAATCAAAATTCACAAATGACATCACTGCGTTTCGTTTGTTTAACATGAACCATTGTAAAGCTCTGATCTTTTCTCACGAAGCAGATTGGGGAATTCGATTGGACACAGTTTTATGTCCAAGGTTTCATCCATATGAAATCATCCATTGATGTTTCTGATTGGTGGACATCCCACCATGCGATTTGATCCAAACGTTGGATCTTCCCCCCAAACATTGGATCTTCCCATCCACAAAATTGGGGAAGAGAGGGGTGGGAAACGAAGTTGGGAGGGAAAAAAATGAAAATTCTACACCCACAATTTTGTGAGCTTCCCGCCCACCCACCACATGCTTGAAGGGAAATGTCACACGAAATAAATCTCATTGATTTCTTTTTTTTTTGAATGCACAACACTTGAGGAATGCAACATGCATTGTAAGTGAAACATTGAACAACATGTTCATGAGACATGTTCGACCGTTGTTTTATTTAAAACATTTTTTTT